AGAGCCTATGTCCAAATAAGGTATAATGTTTCGACACCTTCTATAAATACATGTGTGTCATGTTGGGTCCTTAGACACTGAAGAAGGAAAACAGTGTAGAGTTTCTGAACTTTTGTTTTCAGGGAGAAAATCGCTAAATAAAAACAATGATGCCTAAAGAATAAAATCATGTGTAATGGATACACTATTGGCTACTTGTCAAGCATGCATAGCTTAGTAGTTTCAGAGTAGCATTCATGTTTATACTTGGGAAAATTTTTCTTTAAACTATTCCTTAATGATTTTTGTTTATGTAGAGTTCAAAAAATTTCATAGATAGTAAAATATAATCCTATTAATGAAACAAAGGAAATATTGCTCAATAAAATCTCTTTTCAGAAAATATACTACAAACAGTTATATAATTAAAATAATCCATTTGACAAATTTGGTCCTTTAAAATTGAGAAGGTCCTTTTTTTTTTTTTGGTGTTCTTTAATAGCATATAAGGTATTTTTATGTGGCTTATTTTACATAAAAAGCCAAATAATCTACTTTTAAGTGAAAATGAAAATGTGGAAACTCACAATGGATATATATATATATATATATGGTTGTCGGAAAAGTCATGACGAATTTTTTGTTTTTCATTGCAAAAATGAGTCATATATATATATATATATATATATATATATATATATATATATATGGATGACAATTGTTAGTAAAGTTACATAGGTTTCAGGTGTACAATTCTGTAATACATCATCTATATATCATGTTGTGTATTCACCACCCAGAGTCAGTTCTCCTTCCATCACCATATATTTTATCCCCTTTACCCTTTCAACAACCTTCCCTCCCTCCTTCCCCCTCCAGTAACCACTAAAGTATTGTCTGCAGACACAACTGGGTTTTGGAATTAATACTTTTCTAGATTCAATAGCTTTTTTCTGCTTCTCAGAGGAGCTTATGATCCAAAATAAGTTATCACTACTTCAGATGTATAACCTCCACTCTGAATCCTTCTTCCAACAACTGTTAAGACTTTCTTATCTTGTACCAAGTTCATTCATTTTTCCCTTTTTTGTTTGGCTCACCAATGTTTACCCTATTTATTGATATTGCCCCAGTAATTCTACTGGAACATGTCTGAAGTATTCCTCTTAGTGTATTAAGACAGCAGATTGAGGAATCACATTTCATGCCTTGTGTACCCAGGAGGCAGGGTAAAAGTAAACATGAATTTAAGCTGAATCTGTCTTTCCTTTTCTTCATATTCAGATTTTCAAAATTATCACAGATACATTAACATAAATCATATTTTAGTTCAAGTTAAAACACAGTTAATCATAGCCATAATTATTATTAATGGACAGGTCATATTTTTACTTAAAGGTATTAGAAAATTCTTCTCATGATTATGAAAATATTTTATTCAAAGATAAAACCCCACTATTATTACTAATCATTTATATGTTACGTTACTTCCATGGAATTGGGTCTTAAATTTCATTAAAAATTTTTTTTCTTATCCTTTCACTTTGATCTTGAGATATATTTCTTGATTAAATGTATCACATTTTTATGACAAAAGCAAAGAAATAAGTTATGCTACTTTAAGATTTTCTTTAGTTGTTATAAATATTAATTTTCTTAATTTGAAATTACTTTCCTCCCTTGTCATGCCTTAGCTATTATGAGTAATTTATAACAACCCAAGGGAGTGTGTGTGTGTGTGTGTGTGTGTGTGTTTGTGTGTCTGTGTGTAAGTTTAAAATGAAAGGCTCAGCTATCAGTCATTGAGATCCTCCAATCATTTATCTTTGTTTGCCTCCATCTGATGCTTACCACAGACCCATCAAATTACAATATTTGGTATCCCATATGATTTTCTATGGGGAAAATAATCAATTGACAAAATGACCAGGACACATGGCAGATATTTCTCATTTGAATCAGTACATTAGCATTCTTGTTTGTTTATTGAGTGCTCACTATGCGCCAGGCATTGTTTTAGGCTCTGGGGATTCAGCAGGGACAGAAAAGAAAAAAATAAACCCTCTTCTTAATGGACCTTAGGTTCTCCTAAGGAGATCGACCCTCAAAGTAAATAGAGTTAAAATAATTCAGAGAACCGTAAATGTTATGAGGGAAATCAAATGTAAGAGCGAAAGAGTATATAGGCTGAGGGGTCAATCTTCTGATGTGATCAGGGAAAGCCTAAGGATGTAACATCTGAAGAAAGATGTAAAGCATAAGGAAGATCAAGCCATGCAAAGATTTGTGGTAAGAGAATTCTACACAGAAACAGCTACTGCAAAAGCATCAAATGAGAACAAACGCATTTCTGACTTCCCTCAAAAAATGTAATTATGAGAATAATTCTGCTATGAGGAAAAATTGTATCTTGAAATCTAAAGGTTTTTCATTTTGATTAGCTAGGTTACTTAAATGCTTAAAGTTGTCAATTATTAGTCATAATCAAGACCGATTGTTGCAATGATTTCTAAGCAAATGTGTATATGAGAAATTTAATTTTCTCACTCACTGGTGTATCTAGAAGAATGATCATAAAGAAACATTGTAAAAATTTATAATACTAACTTCTGTTTAATAACTGAAATAATTTGAGGATCTGCATCTATCAAAATGTTTCTATCAGCTTACTAAAAGGATACACATTTTAATGTATGGTATATCATAATTCTTACACATTTTAACCTTTTTCACAGATTGACGGGCATATGGACTTGAAGACAGGAGATGAAAAGAAGAGAAAATCATGAGGACCCTTAAAGACGTGGCATATTATTTGTATCCCTGAGAAAAAAATGAACTATCTCTTCTCAGAGCAATTATAAAACTAAATGGTTTTTCCTAAAAGTACATTTCTTTATTTCCATTGGAAGAACAAAATAAAGGAGAGTAGAAAGCTCTCACATATCTCTCAGTTACAGGTCTAGATTGGTGATCACGTGTACTATGTGTAATGCATAGAGAAAACACAGTTTATTTTTATTCAAGACACAACTTCTTTCTGCAATTCTCATTTTATAGACACCAGAACTAAGATACAGTTCTCTGTATTTTATCCATGTTTTGTTTCTTTAGATTTTCGTCTCTAAGTTAAAAAATGAACATACTAGATTGAAAATAACTTTGAAAATATCTTTAAATGTAAAAAACTGTAACAGCGATACAAGTTATACATGCATAACAGTCTACCAAGGAGACCCACTGTCAGTTCTATACATCTTTACAATGTATTTTATGTCAAACATAGTTGAATGCATATTATTCCACTTACTTTCATTCTGTTTTGATACTGTGCCACAGTTTCAAAGCCTACAGAATACCCACATACCAATTATGAGCATTATTACTCATTACTCTGAATCATTCACACAGCTGTCTCATATAAAGTCTATATTATCAATATGGTCAGGCCCTGATTTACATGTAAACTTTTTATCTTAAAAATATATATTTAAAAACCTGACAAGGTATGTTAGATTTATTTCACATTTCACATCAAAACCATTATTTGAGAGCAGAGGAGAAAGTATTTTCCTCCACGTTTACATCTTCTCCTTCATCTAAGCATATATATTTAGATGAGGGGACAGCTGCCCTTTCACCATGGTTTCCTTTCTCCTTAGCTGTGTTTCCACTGTACTTTAAGTGTAACATTTAAAGCATTGGGCATGGAAATGTTGACACCAGTTGCATTTGCAAGAGATTAATGGTGAACCAGAAACACTTTCAATCATACTCCTGTCTCTGTTTATGCCCCCAACCTGGGAGAGGTGCCATCCATTCAACCTGTGCATAATGCTATGGCTTAAAGAAAGGCTACTCAAAAAGTGTGGGGTGTCTAGATAAGGAGACATTTTCTCCTTTTCATGTTTTCTCCTTTTCTTCCACTTACAGAGGAAGAACAGATGTTTTATCTCCATGTATATACTTAAATGGGATCCATATCATTATTGAAAGTTTTATATTGCCCTGTCAGAATTTTCATATATAATATCATACATAAAATATACTTGAAGGTATTTTATTGATATATTGGCTAAAAAAAAATCAATGAAATTCAGTCCAGTTTGCATAGGGGAAGGATTTAAAAAGTAAGACACAAGATTAAGTTTTGGTTCAGCAGAAGAAAGGTCTCTAAGTCTTGCTAATATGTTTGAAAAATTAATCATTGTACTCAATATTTTTCTGTAATACTGCAGAAGGATAATGAAAGCAACTCGGTACTTTAAATAATTTAATTGTAACATACACATTCATATTGATTTATTTGAGTAAAAAAAACTTCCCATTTTAAATAATTTTTGGCTTTCAAAACATTTTTTTTCTGTATAATACCAAATTCTATTATTAGACATGAGTAAGTCAAGGCAGAGTACAACAAAGCAATTTACAAAACTAAACATTGCATAAAATTTTGGTATTAACTTTTACATAAAAATCCTGTATTGTTATATAAACCAAATTTTAAATAGGCTAGTAAATAAGTACAGTTTGAAAGAATGCATAAATATAAATTTTCTTCAAACTACATTAGGATCTCTAGAAAACTTTTAATCATTACTTATAAAATATTTTTGTATAGTCTTGATTTAAAAACTTAAAACTAACACAATCCATAAATTAACTTGAAATTTAAGCATCCTATTGGGTTGGACCTTTTGAAACTGTTGTTTTTGAGCTTAAAAATCAATTTAATAAGTTCAATGTAGTACTTTCCTGGCATGCATGTTCAGCTATGAGAAGGGGAACCTTAAATGGTTCTTCCCACCTTTATATGTAATTATATGATTTTATTAGGCTGGATACATTCTTATTTAATATGAGTCTCTTATAGTATACACTATTTTTCAGTCTCTAGGAAAAATTATAGAAAAATTAGCAATCAAAATGGCAAAGCACAGCCAAAATACAAATAGTCATGTTTTTCATAGTAAAAAAAAAAAAATCACAATTAAAAATTTAGAAAATACGCAGTCACTTACTTTGGTAGAGTTTTCAAATGATTTTCTCTTAACTCCAAGATCCGTAATTTGACAAGTCTGTAGAAATGAATTAAAAAGTTGCTTCTTAATATTTTTCTACAAAATAATATTCCTATGGTAAAGTCCATAATCACTACATTCTACAAACAACTAAGTCCAACATTACATGCCATGGTTACAGATTTTAAAGAATTATACAACTTGGTTATAAGTAATGTTATATTAACATTAGACAATAACAAATATCATTTGTCAAAATCAAATTTGTCAAAATCAAATTTGACAAGTCATTTGTAAATTGATCAAAATTTCCTTAAAATAAAGATCATTCAAAATACCATTAAGCCCAAGTCTTTTAAATTTCATGTTTTATAAAAATACATTCACTGTTGTTTAATTGGATGCATTCAACAGATTATTGCATATCTACTAAATTTCCGGTGCTGTGTTCACTGGAACAGGGCAATGCTTTCCCTGAAAACTATAAATGAACTTGTAAAGCAAATAATGTAGCATAGTGATTAAGAGCTTGAGCTTTATGGTCAGAAAAATCTGGATGAAATCCATGCTCTCACAGTCCATCTCTGTGATACTGGGCAAATTACTTAACGCCTCCTAAGTTTCACCATCTACAATGAATATGTGATAACAGTATCAAATGAATAGGGTTTTGAATATTAAATGATGTCACACATGTAAAGCATAATGCCTGGCACATCATAAGTTTTAATATGTGTAGCTATTACTATCATCATTAATTGCACAGTGGGAAAAGTGCTACAATGCACCACATTTCATTGACTCTAAAATGAACATCTTAACATTTCTGAAGTGGATGTGCATTAAAAATCTATAGCATTAGTTGTCTTGTGAGGCTGCGGAAATCTGTGAAGGGGATGAAAGGTGTTCACGGTTTGTGTTGCTGTGTAACATTTGTGATTAGGAATGCATTTCACACCTAGCTACTTGTTAAAGTCTGTAGTTGAGGACGCACAATTGTTACTCATGTTTATAAATGAACTTTAAAATGTACTCAGTTGAGGCTACTTTGGAACATATTAATTGGATTCTCTGAATTACTAGTGTTTGAGAAATATTTCACTGTTGTAACCATTTCACCTTAAATTACCTATATTTAGTATGCTTTTAGGTATTCATATAGGTCTCTTTCCCTTTCTTTTTTTTTTTGACTCCTATCAAGTTTCTAATTTAATTTAAATCTTATAACTCTTCATCTCTATGTGAAATGAAGTGATTCAATTCTTCAGAGAATGGGTACAAGAGATTTCTTAAACATTGATTTGTCTCAAATCTTCTCAACATTTGTACTAATTTGTACTAATAATATCATTATATTTTGGCCTTTATGGGCACCAAATCTCAGGTTTTGAAAGGGATCTTAAGCATCCTTTTGTGAAACTCCCCAGCTGAAGGTTAAAAAACTTTCTTAGATCACAATAATAAAATAGAACATGTATTGGCAAACAATTTACACAAAATTAAATTCTAATTCCAAGTGGTTTTGGCTTTAGCATGATGTTTTCTGTTTGCCCAGATCTCTTCCCTCACATTAGGGCTACTATAAGAGGACTGACAAAAATTCAAGACAAAAAAAGAAAAAAGTGTGCCTTAGAGTGACAAACGTTTTCTGATTGGCTAAATCAAAAGCAAATTTGTAGCGTTGTGGTCACTGCCAGAAGGACAGTGCTAATTTAGATAAATAATGGTGATGTGCTAATTCACTTGGAAGCGAGGCAAATGGTCTTTTGAAGATCTGTGAATGTTCAAAACTGTCTAAGTTTATAGTGTTCCTAGGGGTTGTGATATGATCTGCAAAAGTAATGGAATTTGGGAAGTGGTGATGCACTCTCTCTGTGCAAATGGGGGCTGCTACATGTTAAGAGACATCATGATTCCACTGAGTTCTTCTTAATGTCATGCATTAGCTTCTTCTAACAGATAGGTGTCAAGGTATACTCATTCTATTATTGGAACATTTTCAGATGATCACTTACAAAAATGCTGTTGACAATAAGCTTAAATTGTCTTAATTTTTAAGATATATCTTTCCATCTTTCATATTTGTAAGAGTCAAGACATGAAAACAACCTGTCTACATCAACAGATTAATGGATAAAGATATATATATATATATATATATATATATATATATATATATATATCATATTCACAATTCAATTCTATCAGAAGTATGTGAGGTTGCCTCTTTCCTCATACTCCAGAAAGTTTTTGTAGTATGCTAGAACATGAAAACACATAGTTATTTTAATTTGTATTATTCTTATTATTTGTGAGGATAAACATTTTGCATGTGTTCACTGGTAAATTGCTTGTTCATGTCATTTACCCATTTGTTTTTCTAATGAGATCTTTGTCTTCCTACTCATTTGTAAGAATTCTTTATAGGTTAAGGACATAATTTACTTTCCATATATGTTAGAAATATTTTCTCAATTTATTGTTTTTCTTTATTTTTAAAATATTTTCTGATGATTTTTTATTTTAAAAGTATTTATATAGTCCATTTATTTATCCACTTATATTTTCATTTGTTTTTATGCTATAAGGTATTACCTAAACCAAGCGCCACAAATATCCACAGGCATATTTTCCAGATAATTTTGTATTTTATGTTTTAATAGAATTGATTTGATTATCAATGACCTAATTTTGCTTTATGTTTTTGAAAAACATTTCATAAGTTAGCATTGTCTCATTTACTGAATAAAAGGTTTATCACAATGGTCACTATAGCAGCTTCACCTACTGGTCTTGGTAAAGTACTGACCTAAAGTGAAATAAAATTGCATCATCTAAAACCCTAAAGATTCCACCCAAAATTATTAGAAACAATAACCAAACACAGTAAATTTCTAGGATGCAAAATTCAATGTATAAAAATCTATTGTGTTCCTATATGTTAACAATGAAACTACAGAAAAAGAAAGGAAAATAACAATTCAATTAGCAATTGAAAAAAAAGAATAAAATACCTAGGAATGGAATTCACAAACGATGTGAAAGACCTATACACTGAAAACTACAAAACATTATTAAAATGGAATTGGGGAAGACACAAAGAAATGGAAAGATATTCTATGTTCATGGATTGAAAGAATCAACATAGTTAAAATGGCCATGATACCCAAAGCCATATACAGATTTAATGCAATCCCCATCAAAATCCCAATAGCATTTTTTCAAGAAGTAGAACAAAAAAATCATCAGATTTGTATGGAACCACAAAAGAACCCGAAAAGTCAAAGCAATCTTGAGAAAAAAAGAACAAGGCTGGAGGTATCCTACTCCCTGACTTCAACTTATACTACAAAGCAACAATATCAAAACCACATGGTATTGGCAGAAAAACAGACACACAGATCAACGGAACAGAATGGAAAGCCCAGAAATGGACCCACATATACTATATGGGCAAATAATTTTTGACAAAGGAGCCAAAAACATACAATGGAGAAAAGAAAGCCTCTTCAATAAATGGTGCTGGGAAAATTGGAAAGCCATCTGCAAAAGAATGAAACTAGACTGCTATCTGTCACTATACAACAAAATTAACTCAAAATAGATCAAAGGCCTAAATATAAGACCTGAAATAATAAAATACATAGACGAAAACATAGGTACAAAGTTATGGACCTTGGTTTTAGAGAGGATTTTAGGAATTTGACCTCATAGGCAAGGGAAATAAAGCAAAAATAAATGAATGAGACTATATTAAACTAAAAAGCTTCTGCACAGAAAGGAAACCATCAGCAAAACGAAAAGGCAACCAACCAAAGGGGAGACGGTATCTGCAAATAATACCTCTGATAAAGGGTTAATATCCAAATTATATAAAAACTTGTACAACTCAATAACAATAAAACAAACAATCCTGGGCCGGCTGAGTGGCATGTTGATTAAGAGCTGGCTTGGGACGCCAGCTCTGAGCAGCAGGACCCCGGTTCGGATCCCACATGAGGGCCAGTGACACTGCCCTCTACAGCTAAGATGGAGAACAACAGTTCGACCTGGAGCTGGGCTGCTGTGAGTCGCTGGTGATGATGTATGCTGCAGCCCCTGTTGCATTGGGTTGCCATAAGCTGCCATGAGTGGCTGGCAGCCAGCATGAGCAGTGGGCAGCCGGTGTGAGCTGCCAAGATCCGCCATGTGGGGCCGTCCAGAGGCCGGCGACTGATCTGCCTTACCCGGGAAGAGCGCATTGATAATACCAACATGGGCCAGTGAAGCAACGTCCTCCACAACTAGAGTGAAGAACAAAAGGATAGCAACTTGTCTGTTCCCCTTCCCCAATTCCCCAATGCTGTTCGCCTCCCCCAATTCCCCAATAAAATCTTTAAAAACAAACTAACAATCCAATTAAAAAATAGGCAGAGGATCTGAACAGACACTTGTCACAAGAAGACATACAAAAGGCCAACAGATATATGAAAAGATTCTCAACTTCACTAGCTATTAGGAAAATGCAAATCAAAACCACAATGAGATACCACCTGACACCTGATATTAAGACAAGTAATAGCAAGTGTTGGAGAGGCTGTGGAGAAAAAGGAGCCCTCAGACACTGTTGGTGGGAATGCAGGCTGGTACAGCCACTAGAAAACAGTATGGAGTTTCCTCAATAAATTAAGACAAGAGCTACCATATGACACAGTAATTCCTCTCCTGGGTATCTACCCGAAAAATTTGAAAACATTTATTCATAAAGATATGTGTACCTCTGTGTTCACTGCAGCATTATTCATGGTGAAGACATGGGAACAACCTAAGTGTCCTTCAATAGGTCATTGGATAAAGAAGAAATGGTACATACATACAATGGAGTATTACTCAGCCATAAGAAAAGATGAAATACTGCAATTTGTGACAACATGGATGGATGTTGAGATTATCTTGTTAAGCAAAATAAATCAAATAGAAAAAGACAAGAACTACATTATTTCACTCATATGTGGGATATGAAATACAAAGCAACAAACAAACAACTCATCATAACAGACAACAGTATAATGATTACGAGAAGGGAAGTGGGGAGGCAGCAGGTAGAAGAGGATAAATGGGGTCAAACACATGGTGACCAAAGGAGATTTTGACTTTGGGTGGTGAACACACAATGCAATAAACAGATGATGTATTATGGAATTATATACTTGAAACATATAATCTTATTAACCAATGTTATCCCAATAAAATGTAATGAAATTTTTGAAATATGTATCATTTAATTTTCTTATTTTTACCTTCCAAAATTTGCTGGAAGAAATTCAAGAAAGGCGTCATTCAGGTAGAGCTGGGTCAGGTTCATAAGCTGTGTGAAGCCATCAGGAAGCCTAGAAAGAAGTTCAAGGTTTAGTCACTGCATCAATGTTGCCATAGAAACAGAACAAAAATATATGTCTCTAAGGAGAAAAATAGAAGTGTAATACCTTTTTCAAGTCTCCTTTGGTATTACAGTATAAGAAGAATTTATTGAGCATGTTGTTACAGCTTGAAAATTTTGCCTGCTATTAAAATAAATGGCATTCACCCACCTCCATGCTGCTCTACTGTGCTGAGATTTATTTCACTGCCAAAGTTAGCAACATCATCTCACTGTTGTCCTAACCTTATGCATACCAGAGAGATATGTCTTTATGGAAATTTCAAATTGCATGCCATGTTTTGTAATTTTAAATTTAATGTTCTTTCTCAATAGAATACTCACTTATATAGTCAGGCAAAGATATCTACTTACTCTGTTATTTAATCATTCAAATTTGTCTACAGTTTGTTACAATGATGACTAAAGCTGCCTAATATGAAAAGGGAGAAGCATTCTGTCGCATGACTAATAATTTCTGTAATGCCAGCTCAATATGTATGTACGCTATAATTCAAATTTTTCCAATTCATGTTCACTATAAATGAGTAAGGACTTTGAAACAATAATTAAGCAGAATCCTAAAGGCTTTAAGAGGCATTAAAAGAGTTGAGAAAATATCCTTTGGGGAAATTTTACCAGTTAGATGGAGTAATTACTTGAAATATTTAAATCTTTTTCACCAAAAGATTTAACTCAAAGATTTTCAAGGACATTTGTCCCTAGAAGGATATTGAATTTTTTTCCTGTCATTAAATTTTTATTTAAACATCTTAATGTCTTTATCTGTTGTCTAGAAAAGATAATGTTCTTTTACAAAATGCTTCTAAATAGTGTTCAAATTTGTCTTCCCCTCAAATTATGACCTATCTCCCTACTTGCCTTTACTGACCAAATTATTTGAAGAACTACCTATATTCACTGCTTTTCACTACTCCTCAAGCCATTGTTTTCCAGCATCTACCCCAACTCTGTTACTGAAACTGCAGTCACGAAAGCCTCCAATGATCAAGTCTTAGTCCCTGTTTCATTTTGCATCCCACACTGCCTAGCAACAGTTGCCATCATTGATTGTTCTCTCCTTGGCTTCCAGTATACCAATTTTCTTGCTTCTCCTCCTACTCCTGGGACATTATATCTGAGTTTCTTTCCATGGCTTCTCTTCCTGTGCCCAATCTTTTGTTATGAAATGTTTTATATATAAAAGAATATATGCATAGCCACAATATAATAAATAGAACTAGTGCTTTAAAACCTTCTGGGTGCCCCTCCCTGACTACCTCTTCCCATTTGCCCCACAAATTCCTGAATAATGTTGATTATTCTGCTTTTTAAAAGGTTTTGCTACAACTATCTAAGTCCATAAAAAAAAAAGTTGGGTGGTGTTGCATGTTTTAGAACATTATATAAAAATCAAATCCTACTATGAACATTTTTAAGACTTTAAAAAATTAGCATTAATTGTGAAATTCATCCATTTTGATGCAGATGACTGATCACTATAATATAGTATTCCACTGTATGGATATATCACAGTTTATTTATTATCCTCCTTATAAAGAACATTACAATTGTTTCTAGTGTCTTGTTTGTTTTCTATTACAAACATTGCCTCTCTGTGACTATTTTTAAACATATAACCTTTTATACAAGAAATTATTTAAGTTATATCCCTGTTTACCTGAGATTAATGTCCCTCAGGAACAACCCTCAACTAATGACTAGCAGGAGTATAAATAGCTCAGCTGCCTCGCAGGTATTTTACAGTTTCCCAGGGTTCCCCAGACAGATTGAGGTCCAGTGGTTCACACTAGTAAATAGCTTGATAACATACCCTCAAGAAGTACTTCCTCAGACCACCTCCTAAATATACTGTTTGAATTCTTTCTAAACAACTGCTTCTGGGGAATACAAACTAAGCCCAATCGATATTTTTATGCTAATTTATAGGCATTTTTATACACTTTTATGATGCTAAGCTTATACTGATTATTTTTGCTGCAAACATCTTGCTCCAGTTTGTATTTTGGAGATGAACTGTTTGTATGTGATTTCATAAAGGATGTTTCTATAAATTTCTTTAAAAGAAACGTAGGATTCATGAAATTAAAAAAAATAATAAAGAAAAAAAAAAGAGAAAGGAGGCAGAGAAGAATGAAGGTGTTTATGATGTAGAGGTAAGAATTCACCTGAGATGGTTGACCAAGAGAAAATGCATTCCAGAGAAAATATTTTATGTACGAGTGTTTTAGGAGTTAACATTTAAGAATGTCAGTAGGGTGCGGGTTTTAGAAAGTACTAAATATTTGACTCAAAGATTTGAACTTTATCCTGTAGGATTAAAAAAAAAATCTATGGAAGATCATTGTTTTTCTCTATGTTTTCCTTTGTTTTAATGCATGAGAGCTTATATCCTTGTAGTATGATAGCTTTTATGATAATGGTAGAAATGTTCAACCCAGTTTACGTACTATCTTCCTTTAATGTCCTCTGGTTACCACACTCATTTGAAAGAAGGAACCACTTATGAATTTTTTAAAAAAAGATATTAATACATGCAAAACGAGAGGAATGTTGAAACCTTTGATCTAATAATTTACTTTAACATTGTAACTACTAATAAGTAAAAAGGCTTTAAAACACTAATTTTCTAGTTATATGTACAATTTGAATTGCCCAGTTTCCCTTAGTCTATTATATAGACTATTATATAGACTATAGTCTATTATATATACTATTCTGCATATGTATGCACTTAATGGTATTATATTGTACTGCTTCTTTTATCAAAAATATATTTCTTAATTTCTGCTTCTCTGGAAAAATTTGTGCTACAAGGAAATCTGGCTTCTTATATACACACTTTTTTGAAGATTGAAGAATTGACCACATTGTATAGGTTCCAACTGCAAAACTGGACTGCCAAAAATAAATAATATGAAAAACCAGAATACAAAGTAAGATCATTTTCTCTGTCTTGTTATAAACAAAGATGAGTTGACATTTTATATTGAACCTTTCTTTTCTAAAAACATAGAGTTAAAGGTTATGCTTATATAGTATGTCTTATTAAAAACGTGTATTTTTTATTTCAGTCATTTCATCAAGCATTTATTGAATGATTACTCTGCACTTAGATTAAAAATTAATGGCTTTTTTCTCACTTTCCCCATAGGATTCTTTTGACAGATTTGGCAACATGCTTACACAAATTATTCTTTGTATAAGTGTTGGGCATTTTCTATTCCTGGGATAAATTATAAATTTCTTGAGGACAAGGAATTTTGTAATCTCCTCAGTGATCTAGTATTGTACTTCGAAACATATTATTTGAAAAATATATAAAAAGTCAGTAGTTCTGCTAAAGAAGATAGTCAATTTTATTTCTTTCTAATTTTATGGTACAGGTTTGTAGCTTATAGAGACAATGGCCCCATTTGTCAATATCACCATTTCCAGAGGAATATTTGAGGAGAGGCAAGAAAGAAGATATTCCCAGCAAAATAGATAAACTTGATGAAGATGACAATCATGGGTTGTCTTTATCATTCTCCAAGCTATTCAATGAAATCCAAGATTTTACACTAAGCTTGGGAGAGCTCAATAATGAAATAATATTACTATCCTAAAACAGCTGGTGGTTTTTTTTACATTTGACTGACTTATTAAAAAATACTAATATGTTTTATACATATTGCTAAATATGTCTCTGCTAAAAAAAAAACCTTTCATTTTTATTGATTACTTAAATTAAAAGTGGCATATTCCAACTACAACAAAGAAAGGATAATAAAACCAGACACCCATATTGTTTAATGGTTGAGTACATAGGCACTTATGGCAGAAGACCTGGGTTTGAATCACAGTCTTTCAATTATTACCTCTATGGCCTTTGCAAACTTTTGTAAGACTTAGTTTTCTTATTTGTAAAATGATATTACTAATATCCACTTCCAGAGTTGCTCCAATGATTAAATGATGACCTGCCCCACAGTAAGAACTCAGAATGGGAGCAATTATGTTACTTTTATTTGGTCTAGTATTGTTTTTATTCTGATCTTTCAATGTTAACTAGAATATGAATTTAAATATTTTTATTAATGCTGTTTCTATTATTGGAACAGGAAAATTGAGATTGGTTACAGACATCCTTGTTTTGACATTTTTCTTTTCTAATTCCATTGACTTTAGTAAAATAGTTAAAGAAAAAACATATTACAGGCATTTGACCTCTAATAGAAGAGTTAGGCCAAATTAAATTACAGGTTTTGTAAGTTGTGATTAAGAAGCTAGTGTAAAATCTATCCTTATTTGAAATGTATTTTACATCTAAATAGTTTAACTTATGTAACTTAAAATTCTAAAATAATTGTAACAATATTACAGAATGTTTGAAAAATAAAGAGAAAAAGAAAAGTACTATTCATAATTCAACCTTCTTAATATTGCCAACATTACCTTTCATGTATTTCTAATCTAATTTTCAATTAATTGTTTTAACATCACAACAAAGTTGTTTCATGATGTCTCCCTTTACTTTATAATTATCTTTCAATGTTGCTGTATAACCAGAGTGACTCCATAATCTATCATTCAAACTAGGACACTTTTGAGAGTTGAAAGGGAGCTACTATTAATCATGCCACATCAACAGGTTGCAAACTAGGATGACCTAAGCAAACAGAGCCTAGATTCCCTTGAAAAGAATGAAAGTAGAAATCTGAACTTTGAGGACCCTGCTGAGGAGGGCTTAAAAAGAAGTTAGGTATGGGTTATTAAAAATTTCCTCAACCTGATAAAGGGCATGTATGAAAGAACAATAAGCAACAGTTCCAGATAATGGTGAAAGTCTGATGCTTTATTCCTAAGTCTGGAAACAAGGCAATGATGTCTCTTTTCACCTCTTCTATTCAACATTGTACAGGAGGTCCTAGCCAGGACAATAAAAAAATAAATAAATAAAAATCATACCGATTAAAGAGGATAAAAATGAACCTGTGTTTATTCACAGGTGACATGATTGCCTACCTAAGAAAATCACCCCACATCTCTAAAATATTTACTGGAACTAATAAATGAATTTACTAGAACTAATAGTGAGGTTGTAGGACATAAAGGCCATAGAAAAACAAAATCAATTGTATTTCTATATATCAGCAATAAACAACTGAATAATAGAAAAATCATTTGCAATGGCACAAAAACCATGAAATACTTGGAATAAAACGAACAAACCATGTACAAGACTTACATGCTGAAATCTACAAAACATTGATAAAACACATTTTAAAAGTATAGATATAAATTATGCTCAGTGATAGGAACTCTCAAGATTTTTGATAATGGCTATCATCAATAAATCAACAAACAACAAGTGCTGGTGAGGTTGTGGGAAAAAGGGGACCCTGGTGCACTGTTGGTGGGACTGCAGACTGGTGCAGCCATTATGGAAATCACTATGGAGGTATCTCAAAAAACTGGAAATGGAACTACCTTATGACCCAGGAATTCCTCTCTTGGGTATCTATCCAGAAAAACCCAAGACATTAATTCAAAAAAATATATGCACCCCTATGTTCATTGCAGTGCTATTTACAATAGCCAAGACTTGGAAACAACTGAAATGCCCATTGGTAGATGACTGGATTAAGAAGCTATGGTACATTTATACAATGGAGTGTTACTCAGCTATAAAGAAGGAAATCGTACCATTTGCAACGATCTGGATGGACCTAAAGAACATTATGCTAAGTGAAATGTCAGTCAGAGAAAGACAAATACCATATGATTTCACTTATATGTGAAATCTAAAGTACTGAATAAATGAGAAATGTAAACAGAAATAGTCTCAGAGACACAGAGGAAAAACTGATGGTTGCTAGTTGGGAGGGGTGGGGATGAAGGAGAAGGGGAAGGGATGAGACAATACAAATTGGTAACTACAATATGGCCTCAGGGATGGAAAACAGTCTGAGGAATATAATCAATAATGCTGTAAATATTTTCTAGGGGGCCAGATGGACTCATGTCTTGTTAGAGAGACCATTTCATAGATGGTGTAGAGGCCTGACCACCACACTGTATATCTGAAGCTGATGTTGAATAATATTGTATGTCAACTATAATTATAAATACATATATAGTGATGGGATGTGGAGTAGAGTATGGGAATGGAGTCAATGGAATTGTAATAGATAAGTATGATATTGGGGGTGGGAGGGCAGTGGTTGGGGGGAGAGGGGTTGTCAATTTGTGAGGGGTGAAAAGAATAACCATTGCATTGTTTTGTACACCTGAAACTAATAATAATAAAAAAATGTATAATTAGAACTTCATCAAAATTAAAAACTTATCTTTGAAAAACTATTTTGAAAATGGAAAGTTAAGTCACAGACTAGGAGCAATTATTTACAAACAAATATCTGATAAAGGACTTTTAGCTAGTATATATAAAAATTCTAATAATTCCATAATAAAAAGGCAAGTCAATATAAATGAGCAAAAGGATTGAATTTTTTGCCAAAGAAACAATACAGATTATAAATAAGTACATGGAAAGATGTTACTTGTATATTAAAAATGTAAATTAAAATTACAATGAGATACCACCGTGATATAGCCATCTACTAGACTGGCTAAAATAGAAAAAACAAACAAACAAACAAAAACCAGATTGCACCAAATTCTGACAAAGATGAGGAACAACAGAAACTCTAATAAATTGCTGGTGGGAATGCACAATGAATAGCTGTTTTGGAAAACAGTTTGGAAATTTCTTATAAGGTTAAATATACATGTACCATATTACCCAGTATACTATTCCTAGGTGTTTAACCAATAGAAATTAAAACATATGCTTACTCAAACAACCTACATGTCTATCAACTCATGATAAATTGTTGTAAATCCATACAACGGAATACTACCTACAAATAAATGAGAATGTAATGCTGACTCTTGAAATGACATTGATAAATCTCAAAATCAGTATGATAAGTAAAAAAAGTTTGACACAAAAGTATGATACCATATATGACATTTTTGAAAAGGCAAAACCATGGGGATAGAAATCAGATCGGTGGATGACTGAGCAGAGGGAACGTCTTGGGGTGATGTAAATATCTTGATGTCTATATCTTGTTTATAGTGGTGGTTCCAGGACTGTATACATTTGTCAAAATTCACTAAGCCATACACTCAAAAGGGTAAATTTTACTGCACATAAATGATATCTTTCAAAAAGCCTAACTTTAAAATTAGTGTATTATGTAATTTGATTCTTCTATTGAGTACTATTTTATGAATTCCCAAACTGTTTAATGTTTTCAGTGTTAGGCATTTTTTTGATGAAATAGATCATTCAGTCATCTTTTAAAAAGTTAAACATATGAAAGCAATTCAGAGACATAACCAACAAGATGATAAACTTTAAGCTTCTTAAAGATGTGATTTATCACCTAACCCACTGAGCTTGATTCCTAAGTAAGATGGACTGTTAGAATTAAAGAACTAAAAAATTAAAAATTCACCAACTGCCCTGGCTTATGATTCAAGTCAAGGCCATGGCTGTAGTATACATGTGAGCAGTTAGCTAGATCTATTTCTTTGTTAAGAAAATTGCATTTTGGTCTGAAAGTTTTGGAAACACTTTTCACAGGATTTTTTTTTTCCTTCCATATTTTATTTCTCAGGTAGAAAATCTGTACCTTTCAAACACATTTTATTGCTTGACGTTCCACTTTCAACTAAAGGCCTTCAATTATTTCCCAAACCTTTCACTGTAAAGATCTCCATCTAAATTTCCATCTCCTTTTGTATTCTCTTCCATTCCTATTCTCATCTACAGCCTCTTCTCATGATCCATTCTCACTACCCCCTCTCCTCAACTCTATTGGTAAAAACTTTCTCTTCAAAATTTCCTTTGATAAACTTCCTTTGGTCTTCTTCTAAAAACACTACATTCATTAAATGACTTTCCAGTGGGCTTCAGGTTCTCTGAGTCTCTTCCACTTCATGTGGATAAAGGAATGAGGGAGTTTTCTCCAATCCTGCTTTCAGTTTCTGCATAATTATAATGCCCATCTTACTCTGAAACTCATTATCTTCATCCCAATGTCACTGATTTGTTTCAGCCTCTTCCAAATATTACGACAACTGTCAATAGCCTTTCTAGAGTTCATGTTCACATCCACTGTTAAATGACTTTAACATTGAAGTTCATGGCTCATCTAATCCATTCAGTTCGTGGTTTCTTGAGCCATTTGATCAATAGCACACCCTCTATCATTATGACGTAACTGTAATTCAGGAACGTGGTCACATGCTGGGTCACATTTTCCCATGGCATTTCTCTAATAACAAATTACAAACACTCAATGTCTGATTACAGCATCTTTACCATCCATTTCTTTTACTCTGCTATCCTCATAGAATTGTCTTTTTGTCTTTCCTGTAATCTTTGGTGCACAAATGCTACCTTTTTCTGGTCATATTTAATTCTATCACCAGCTTGAACTATATGATAAGCTATTTTCATGTGCCTACTAATACCTTAAACTTTTTCATGCTCTTGAACTTTAATCACATCCTTGATGCTAATTTTCTATCATGACCATAACTAACAGTTTCCTTAGTTTCAGTGCTCTTCCATGGAATGTTGCCTGAGAGCCACAAAAAAAATGATGACATAGTTTGCTTCTAAGTAATGCCATCATGCACCAAGTAGGCCTTTATTGTTACTCAGCAGTGCTTTTAATCATCTTTTGTTGAACTATACTGATTTGATTATTCCTTTCACATCATTCTATTGAATTGAATTTTAAGTGCAGCATTTATTATAAAATTAATTTATTATGTAAATTCTGTTTCTCTTAGTATATTGTTATTCAATAGAAACATAAAATAAATAAAATGAAATCACTCATACTCACTTAGAAATGGGATTGACACTGGCTTCAATAATTGCTAAACACTTACAGCACTTTATGTTTTCTGGAAATTCTTGTACACCTAAAAGGCAAAAAGAAAAAAAAATACATGAAAATGTCCCAGTACAAATTCTCTAAATTATAGTTCTAATATTAAGAATAATTAACTAAATACATAGTATAAACACTAATGGGATAATCTTTTAAGTAAGAATAATAACTTAATATTATATATTAGCATCATAGCCTATGTATATACATATTAAAAATAAAATTTGAATGATAATTAATATTTTATGATAGTAAAAATTGGAAATTGTATATACAATTGTATATACAATTGAGGACAATTGTATATTTGGTATAAGATAGATTTTGGCTCTTTATGTATCCAAAGATATAAAAATAGTTTAGGTTTATTTAGTTACAATATCACTGCTACTGGAGGAAGGGAAAATCATCAGATGATAGAAAACAGAAGAGAAAAATCTTTGCTTCCTTCATGTTCTAAAATTGGGAAGATTGAACACATACACGTGAAAAATACCTACGGACAAATCACAAAACAATAGATATTCTCAAACTACTATGGGGCTCTAACAAATTTTATGTAATTCTTTCTTGTTGGCACCGAGTGCAGCTCTGCATCTGCCTGAAAAGGTGAAGAGGTGAGCAAGGCCCTCTTGGGTCCTCCCTGGAGGCTCTGAGGTAGGCAGCCTAGCTCATTGCCCTTGGAGAACTATTCATCTGCTGTCACAGCTGTGCTGTTGGCGCGGTGACAGGAAAACACAAGGGTTTCTTACTGAAAATCAGAAAGTCACACAACCTAATCCACAAATATGAGTGTCAGGGATAAAAGATGCGGAGGACATTTCAATCAATTGGTACACATGAATTAAATATAGTAAGCCCTGCAAAAGTTAGAAAACAGCTATCTGAAGTCATTCCTATATGCCTGCAGGACCACCTGCTCTCAGTTTTTGAAACCATTACTAAGGATGTAAAAATATCCATAAAGCACTAGTCCTGCTGAGCACCTCATATCTGACAGAAGGATGAGGAATGTTATGTGGCAGGCTTTGTTGAACTTTTTTCTTTAAGAAGGAAAACCCTCCACCTCCTAGATTCATTTGACCCAAACCAGCATGTCCACAGGACCTTGAAGTCCAGGAAATCAGCAGGAGGGGGACCAAACCACAGCAGATCGTTTATTCAGTGTAAAGTAAGGGTATGAAAGAGAAGATGGGTACATTTCCCCCACCATTTTTCCTTTATGTGGAATTTCTTCATAAACCAGGCTCTCCCAAAAATTATTGCTACAGTATTTTGCCCTTTTCATATGCCCAAGAAATTTTAGGAACTCCATTATGTATGAATTGAATGAGAAAGGCCAATTCTCTTTATTGGAAAGGCCATAACACCTAGAGCTGCCCTCATTTGCTAGATGTGAACAAAATGGCAAAAAAAAAGTCAATAGGCTAACCCTTGAGCTATCCTCAATATTGTACCTTAGCACTCATATTTACTTTGGATATCTACAACCAGCAAGGGTGTAAGACTTTTTGTTTCCTCCTTTTAGCTTTTTCTAGTTAGTCACCCATCTGGGCTCATTATACACTGTTGTGCCTCATGCCTTACATCCACAGGTAAAAAAACCCCAAAAAAACCCAATCTGCCTTAGAATGATATTTCCTTAAACTATGCATAAAACAAGCCATGGAAGCAAAAGCAAATTAAAATACGATTTTAAGGAAAGCACTGTATCTCCTTATCGTCTACTGAAAATGGAATTCCCTCCTGTGGTGAAAATGCTACCACCGTATGTGTTTAAAAACTTGTATTACACTGTTTACAGTTGAAATTTAAATTGTCCAGCGCAGAGTCCATTGGATTATGATGGAATCCCAATTTTATCCCTCGCTGGTTGGGTAACTCTAGGTAAGTCCCTTACATGCTCAATGCGTTAGTTTCCTAAAGTGATTATATAAATGGTTTCATTGGGCAGTTGCAGTGAGGATTGAAAGAGATCAAGCTGATAAAGTAATTGGCAGAAAGTGCTGCATAGATGTTATCTGTAATTACCAGAAATAAATAGAAGCAGAAGGTCTCAGTCAACAAGGGAACCAACAATACAGAAATATATAACTAGTTTATGCTCAGCAATACTTTTATATTTTTGCAGCGGTTTTTATAGCGATCCTAATTTGTTTATGAAAGTTGGAACAAATTTGGAAAAATGGGTGCCAGGGGAATTTTCTCATATAGACCAATATATGGGCCCTAGAGTTTAGGAAAAGTTCTTAGAGCATAACCTCAATTTGTTGTTCAATCTAAACATAGAGAGGGAGCGTAGCATAGTTAAAGGCAAAGGCTGGAAGGGTGACTGAATCCCAGTATTATCACCTAACCAGCCATGTAATCTTAGCCAGACATTACAATATTCAAGTGTCACTCACTCATTCCTTGCCTAATTCAAAAGGTTGTTCTGAGTATTAGGTGGTTTGAATGTAAAGCACTTAGTATTATGTCTCGCACTTAAAAAAATACCTTAAAATTACTAGATAAAACTCATGTATAATATCAATAAGAGAAAAGTTCACTTACACTTCTGTATGCCTATGTGTAAAATAATTTAATTTTCTTAATAACCTTCATGTGAGGAAGATATATTAGGCAATATTATTTTCATTTTATGGATGAAGAACCACATATTCACAAGGATTAGGTGACTTATTTAAATACCTAATGAGTGTTTATAGATGGAAATGAATACAGGTGGGCTTTCATTCATTGTTTCTTAACACCATGCTCTTGGTTCCTATTTACTCCATTATGCTTACATCCTACTAAAATGATGTTGGCTTTTACTATAGAACCCACATTTTTATTAACCAGTCTTTGAGGTTGGTTTCTAGTCCTCTGAGCACAGTATTTTCAATTTATAAAAAGGCCATATATATATACATATACATAAACACACACACACACACACACACACACGTGTACACATTTTCTCAAATGGACTTTGTATTGATTTTCAAATGTATTCTTCCAGAAACAGGGGGATAAACATCCTTCACTTTAACAATATATCTTATTCTCGTCATGTTTATTTATGATTACTGTAGGAGAAAGGATCAAGCATTTGTAGGCCATGCAATTCAAGTTCTAACCCCAGTTGAGACATCACAGAGTTTTCCTAACAGAGGCCCATAAGGAATTATCTTCTAAGGGCATCACAAGTTCACTTATTTTGGGAACCCCTGGAGATTCAAGCTCATTATATTTAGATGAGTTTCAAACCTGGGCTGAACAACCAATAAGGGCTGTACTCTAAAATAATTACACAGAAAGTTTTGTGTTTTATAGGTAAAATGGTGTATTTAGCTAAAAATTGGACAATTGTCCACAAATAGCAGGTGGCATCAATAAATCTTTATCATCCAAATTAGGACACTGTGGTAAAATTATTTCCAATGTGTCTATTTCAGCAACTATACTACAAATGTATTTTGAATATGTCCACAGAAATTCTGTCAAATGAGAAATAACATTTCTTTATTCTGAACTTAAAATATCTTAGAAATAAAGCTTTTAATGCAATGGAATTATTCATAATTGCATTAACAAAAAATTAATATCTTGAAGAAAAAAAGATGTAATAGACTAGTTTGTCTGATTGTTTCTTTGCCCTTCCCCTTTTTAAAAAACTAGGGTGAATAAGTTCCTGCTCAACTTTAATTCAAGAACTAATTCACTTTGTGGGGTGCTTATTCTTTTTCTTTTTCCCTACCTCCATTAGACCATCTCACTGGTGTGCAGAAGAAGGGATAGAAAAGAATTCCAGAATCAATCAAATGTGAATGAATCTTTCCTGCTTAGCATGGGAAAAGGAAGTCATGGCTAAGATTAGGTTGTAGTGTATTCAGTTAATCACTTTTACATGGACTAACCTGTTTATTACTAATGCAGACAATCAAGTCCTTTTTTTTTTATTTTTTACTGGGGAATTGCGGAAGGGGAACAGCCAAGTTGTTGTCCTTCAGTCTTAGTTGTGGAGGGCACAGCTGGCTTAGCTCCAAGTCCAGTCACCATCTGGCCACCCATTGGCAGCTCAGGGCAGCTCAGCTCAAGGTGCTGTGTTCAGTCTTAGTTGTGGGTGGGCTTAGCTCACCATCCCATGCAGGAGTCAAACCAGCAACCTTGTTGTTAGGAGCACATGCTCTTGCCAGCTGAGCCAACCTGCCACCTGTTGGCAGCTCAGTGGCAGCTCAGCTCGGGTGCAGCTCACTGGCCCATGTGGGAATTGAACCGGCAGCCCTGTTGCTCAGAGCTCGCGCTCTTAACCAACTGGGCCACTCGGCCAGCCCTGACAATCAAGTCTTGATAGAAGGATTTTAAGTTAGTATTAATATGGTTTTCAACTTTAATTATAAAAAAGATTATTGATGTAAAAATACCATATTTCCCCATGTATAAGATGCAACCATTTTTGAAAAACTTGGGGCCTAAAAACTGTGTGTGTCTTATACAGTTGTTGTAGATTTTTTTACTTGCATTTCCCACTGAGGACGAGGCAATATATGAAGACAGTGATTCGTTATCAGACACAGATGAGGACAAGCTAATGGTTGGGACTTTTGACAGTGATAAGGAGTTGTATGAATTTTATGATGAATAAAACTTGAGTTCAATAACTTTATGTAATACATTTTTTTCAAATTTCAGGCCCCCAAATTAAGGTGCGTCTTATACATGGGAGCATCTTATACATGGGGAAATATGGTGAAAAGCAAAACTAAAGTGTCATTAAAATCTTACGTTTGGCCTTAAGTTGGTTTTAAGTTGATATTAAAAGCAATTTTTTTTTTAACCAATGCAATAGGTAAGTGTGGAATCTAAATGTACCAAACAATCTTTTCAGTATTAAATATAGAGCCTAACAATAGCAATAGCAACACTGACCTCTGTGATCATAAATGAAAGATCCTTGAAAGGCAAACCTGAGTGTAAGACATTTCTATAACATATGCTCTGTTTTTTAATCTCATTCTGAATTAATTAATTAGTTAATTAATTTTC